CAGGTATTGGGATGATATATTTTAGACATTTATTTATATTTTATATTGATAATCTATTTTCGACTCTAAAATTTGGAAGTTAGTCCTCTGACATAAAATCCTGAAGTCTAACCGAGTCTCTCTTTTTTCAGCTCCACAACGAAAAACAATCAGGGGCATGGCATCACCAACAGTCTCGATTCCGAAAAGAGAAAAAGATCCCAAGAAACGAATAGTTATATCAGGAATGGGGCTAGTGTCGGTTTTCGGCAGTGACATTGATCACTTCTATAACAAACTTCTTGCTGGTGAGAGTGGGATCACACAGATTGATCGGTTCGACGCCACAAGTTATTCGGTTCGATTCGCCGGTCAAATTCGTGATTTTTCGTCGAAAGGATACATCGATGGTAAGAACGATCGTCGTCTCGATGATTGCTGGAGGTACTGCTTAGTTGCTGGACGAAGGGCACTCGACGACGCCAACCTTGGTTCTCAAGTCCTTGAAAAAGTAAGTATTTTTTTTGTCAAATTACGCGAGTTGGTGTATCGATATTACTCAACTTTTAATTTCTTTAACTATAGCATTAAATTTTTATTTTGATTTTAATTATATCATTTGATTGTTTAATTTTAACGGCATGATAATATGAACATATCTTTTTTATCATTGTGATGACGTGAGCAGAACGACGTCATTTTGATACGACTATTAATGTTCAAAATGATGTTTTAGGCACTAAACTTTAAGGTTGTATTAATTTTGTATACTAAACTTCTAAATTGTTCACTTTTTGTCAATGTCCTTTTCCGACCATAGTCGACAACCAATCATTTTTTTTGTCACATGTCATCTTTTGCAGTAAGATTAGCATCAAAACGTTTGCATTTCACCCATTTCTTCTCATAGGATGGTTTCTCATAAAACTCACTCAAAATAGACGAAAATTCATTTAAAGGTTCAATGTACTACTATTTCGATCTCCTCCAATTATTGTCTGAGAAGACTAATTTTGAGGTATGTTGTGTGTCGTCTCGAAATAATGCTTCTGTCTATTAAGATTTTCGAATAAACACCCCAAATCTCTCAAATCTAAGGAATAAAAATGATAGATTTTTTGTTGTTTAATTTTGTCGATTTTATGAAAAATCAATCTTATGAGAAGAAAGAAGAGTGAAATAAGAATATTTTGATATCATTATTTCCACAAAAAAGGATCGTTGAGGGATGATGATTGGTGGCCGGCCGCAGCCAAAAAAGTACAATGACAAGAAATGAATTGTTTAAAAGTTTAGTGATAAAATTGATACATCCCTAAAGTTTAGTGATATCTGATGTAGGTGTTGTTTACGCTATACTTTTTCCTACGTTGAACAAGAACTAAATTAACCCTTTTGTTGCTCATCACCATAGATGGATAAAACTCGAATCGGGGTGCTGGTGGGGACGGGGATGGGAGGGCTTACAGCATTCAGCAATGGTGTGGAAGCTCTTATTCAGAAGGGATACAGGAAGATCACTCCATTTTTCATCCCTTACTCCATCACCAACATGGGATCAGCATTACTGGCTATTGACACTGGCTTAATGGGACCTAATTATTCCATCTCAACTGCTTGTGCAACTGCAAATTACTGCTTTTATGCAGCTGCCAATCACATTCGAAGGGGCGAAGCCGACATCATGGTAGCCGGTGGGACTGAGGCCGCTATCATGCCGACCGGGATAGGTGGGTTCATAGCCTGCAGGGCATTGTCTCAGAGAAATGATGAACCCCATAGAGCATCCAGACCCTGGGACAAGGACCGTGATGGTTTTGTCATGGGGGAAGGCTGTGGCATACTTGTTATGGAGAGCTTGGAACATGCTATGAAAAGAGGGGCTAACATAATTGCAGAGTACTTGGGCGGCGCCGTCACTTGCGACGCTCATCATATGACTGATCCCCGTTCCGATGGGTTCGGAGTTTCGTCCTGCATAATCAAAAGTTTAGAAGATGCCGGAGTTTCCCCTGAAGAGGCAAGAATTCACAATGAAGCCAACTTTGAAACAATTTGTAATATGAACATTGTAACACCATTAATTTGCAGGTAAACTATGTAAATGCTCATGCAACATCAACACTGGCTGGAGATTTGGCTGAGGTTAATGCAATCAAAAAGGTCTTCAAGAACACTTCTGAGATCAAAATGAACGGGACAAAGGTGATCAAAACAACAATTTTTCTTTAATTACAAAGCTTAACGACTAAAGGGTTTGATTTGTTTCGCGTTGCAGTCGATGATCGGGCATGGACTTGGAGCTGCTGGAGGATTGGAAGCCATAGCAACAATAAAAGCAATAACATCTGGTTGGCTGCATCCCACCATTAATCAAGATGTAAAAATCTCATAAACCTTGCTCATATTCATATCATTTTTTTATCAATGACCTTGTATCATCTCTTCAATGAAGAACTTGGAGCCTGATGTGACAATCGATACCGTTCCCAATGTGAGGAAACAGCATGAAGTCAATATCGGTACGTGGTTTTTCTATAAAGAGTTTTTCACGTTAAATCTTAATGTCTCTTTTACTGTGTTATCATTTTCATCGGCGTTATCTTTTCCTGCAGCAATCTCTAATTCATTTGGCTTTGGTGGACACAACTCGGTTGTGGTATTTGCTCCTTTCAAACCATGAAAGAAACTTTCATATTGCAGGGCCTTTACTTGATCCTGTAACTGGATCCATGAAATGGATTTATTACCCTTTGTTTTTTTGTTCAATAAAATATAAATGGCATTTTTCTATATCTTCATCGTTTTTTAAGTGGATTCACAACTTATAATATACAATTATAAATAATTTTCACAACTATTGCATGATGATATGGATTATTTTAATGTCCTTTTACTCATCTTATTCTAATTCCTCAAATTCAAATCAAGCCTCCATTTCACTGAACTAGTAGCCATCGTCTTTGTTGTTCACGACTCAGTTCATCACCACCTTCAACGTCAACCATCATTGCCTCCACAAAAACACCAACAAATCGATATCACCTTAATTTATCGAGTTCACCACCGAACCATCAGTCAAATCATACCAACAACTAACCCTTATCTTTTGCCCTAACCAAATCAAAATCCTTACACAAAGGAGAAGTAAAAAACCCATCAGAAAGAAGAAAAAAAAGAAAGAAGTAAAGAAAGGAAGAAAAAGCCTCGTGTTTCCTCATTCTTGGTAATTAAAATATTATTTCTCTAAACCCAATGATAGAAGAGTCTCTCACTTGACAAAGAGAACGACATATCCTGAATACGCCATGATCCAATGATAGAAGAATCTATTGGTGTATAATTTAACTGTCAAAAGACTATTAGAAAGTGACGATTTTTTCAGGGAATAGAAGACGACGTTAAATTCATCGATTCAGTGTCATTTAACTTACTAGTAAGGGGACCGAAGTACGTTGACTTCGACCGTCGACGGGCCATGCATTGTTGATTTAAGTGGCTTTGCTTTATCTTGATAATATTGGGTTGGCTTCTTCTTTGCCACAAGATTCAGATGCTCCATGAAAATCGAAGTAGTGGGTTAGTAATAATGGCCTATCCAATTTTTTTGTACAATTGGGTATCTAACTTTTTTTAATGGTGTAATTAGGTTGTTGAATTTTTTTAATTACATATGTTCAATTATGATTTGTTTATACTTATAATTTAAAATTGTTTAATTAAAGAGTTAATGTGTGTTACATATCCAAAAGTTAGACATTAAATTCTAGATATGAATACATATAATTTTAAAAAATGTTACGTATTTAATTATACCAAAAAATAAATAAAAGTTGAATACCTAATGTTACATATTAAAATTCTAAGTATGAACAAGTGAAAAACTAAAAAATATATTAGGTACTTAATTGTAAAAAAAGAAAAAAAATGGTATCTAACTGCACTCTCGAAAGTTAGAACTGAATTACACCAGTAAATAAAATTAAATATTGCATACATACATGGAATGGTTTTGAATTATGTGTTAGAAACTCATCTAATTGAAATTACTTAATGCTAAAATCAAATCAATTAGTGTAATTGAATTGTTAATCAATGTTGAGTTGATGAATTTTAGAGCACAATTCATACAAAGGTGTGTTAATTGGGTAAAGATTATGCATCCATTGACTTTTCAAAGAAGTCGTTCTAAAATAAATAAAAATGTGATATAGGTAAAGGATAAAAAATAATGCTAAACATGTGGGCAGCCTCACTGCCTCATATTGTAAAATAATTATATCAGCGGTAATCTATTGGAATCCTCCCTCACCTTCAACTATCAACCTTTGTCATTTGTCAAAAAATTTCCTTAAATTTATTTTTTACATGTTTTCGGGTGATTTGACTGTTATTTTTGTTTATATTTTTTTATGGTTAGATTTGCCATATCTTTGACTGATCAATATGACGCTCATTTGTTATCATGTTATTCTTCCCTGTTTTGGACCCTCTGATTGAATTTGGATACGTGGTTTGTCTTCATAGATAGTTTTCTCACATTGCTTGACTCTGATTTACGATTGTCATTATCTACTATTAAACGTAGGAAAATATTTTATTATTTTAAATTTATAGATACCAATTATCTTAGTATTTTAAATTATTTATTATTAAACGTAGGAAAATATTTTATTATTATATTAATAATTTAAATATTGAATTATAATTTATATTTAAATATTTAATTACCCTTTTAAAATATCTTTAATTACATTTTCATTTTAATTTAAACTATTTAAGTTTATGTATAAATAATATTTTTTATTATTTTTATTTGAATATAAAGAAAATAAATTTATTATCATCTCAAAACAAAATAAAAAATGAACAAATGTAGCAAATAATAAAATTAGAATTTATATTTATTTTGAATTAATTTTATCATCCTTAATTTCATGAGCTGCATTATTTTTCGTAGGGGTCCATTTGACCTACTTTGTACACTTCTTTTGCTTTATCTGGTTTTTGTTTCGGTTTTTGAAATTCCATCGTTTTTGTTACACACCCTCTCTTATTATTCTTCTTCTTATCATTCTTTTCCATGATTTTTCTTTTTCGAAAGAAAAAGGAAAGAACTTGAAGAATATATTCTCATGGCTGCTTTCTAATTCAAAGAACCAACGATCGACCATTCTTTTCTGCACCAAGAACAACCACTATATTCTTCAAAAAGAAAGAACAAATTATTCTCTTTCACTCTCAAAAGAAGATCATAGCATTGTAGGTGGTGAAATGTAAACCTTCTTTGTTTCTTTATTCTTTCACTTTGCCTTGTAATAATCTTCTTAGCTTCCTGTTGCTCTTCTTGTTGTTGTTTTGGAGACTATGGAAACAAGGGTTCTTGATGGTATAATCAATAGGTTGCTTGAAGTTAGAGGGAAACCAGGGAAGCAAGTCCAGCTTTCTGAGTCTGAAATAAGACAGCTTTGTCTTGTTTCTAAAGACATCTTCTTGATGCAGCCCATTCTGTTGGAGCTTGAAGCACCTATTAAGATCTGTGGTATCTTCTTTAATTTCTCACTCTGTTTAAAGTTTGATTTTAATGAAGTGGTTTGCTTCTTGTTTACGTGTTTGAATTTGCAAAGTAGCTTGTTTTTTGGTGTGTCTTGATGTATGTTTTGTCACTGAAAATGTTCTGAATTTGGCATCCTATGACCTGTTTGTCGGAGTTGCTGACTGATGTTTATGTTCACGAAATCGAATGCATATAGATTTTCTGCAATGTTTGATCTTTTCAGTTCTTTGTTTAAGTATCAAAATCTTGAACCTTGATGTTTATATCGATGTTATTGTATGAACCAATTAAGTTAAGTTCCGGTTTTAAAGATGTTATGGTTACATATCATACATAATACTGAATCTACATCGTCATGAATTACCAGGAGACATTCATGGCCAGTACTCGGATCTCCTGAGGCTGTTCGAAAATGGAGGCTTCCCTCCCATTGCCAATTACTTGTTCTTAGGAGATTACGTTGATCGGGGAAAGCAAAGTCTCGAAACCATCTGTCTTCTCCTTGCATACAAGATCAAATATCCGGAGAACTTCTTCCTGCTCAGGGGCAACCACGAATGCGCATCTGTGAACCGTATCTACGATTTCTACGACGAGTGCAAACGGAGATTTAATGTCCGGCTCTGGAAGGTGTTCACCGATTGTTTCAACTGCCTCCCCGTAGCGGCCCTGATCGAAGAAAAGATATTCTGCATGCATGGCGGACTGTCGCCGGAGCTATGCAATTTAGACCAGATTAGGAAGTTAAAGCGGCCTGTGGATGTTCCAGAATCTGGCTTACTATGTGATTTCCTATGGTCTGATCCTAGTAAAGACATTCAAGGCTGGGGGGCTAATGACAGGGGAGTTTCATATATATTTGGTGCTGATAGGGTGATTGATTGTCTGAAGAGGCTTGATCTTGATTTAATTTGCCGAGCACACCAGGTTTCATAACCAGTTTGCATTGAATCATTTGGTATAAATGGTTATAGTTTCAGCTTCTTATATCTTGATAACCAGAATCTATACGCTTGCTTGCAGGTCGTCGAAGACGGATACGAGTTCTTTGCTAATAGGCAACTTGTAACCATATTTTCAGCACCAAATTACTGTGGAGAATTCGACAATGCCGCTGCCATGATGAGCGTGGATGAAACATTAATGTGTTCATTCCAAATACTAAAGCCTGCAGACAAGAAACCAAAATTCGGGTTCGGGACATTGACTTCAATCAAGTCTCCTACACCTCCATCGAGAATCAGAGTATACTCAAAATTCCTTGTCCATAGTTTCTGCAATTTCCTGTGTCGGACACGTACACAAAACCGATAGCTCTCTTACTTGGTGCTTGAATTTTTCTTTTTTGCCAGTCATTTCTTGGAGCAAAAGTATAATAAGAGGCTTCAAACTGGTGGAGATATCAAGAGCAAGTTGGCTGCCATCAAAGGGAAGATTTGGAAGATTTTACAAAGAAAAACTCTTATGAAATCTGGTGATTTCAAAGACCCTTTGTTATATATTAGTTTCAATAGAGTCCCCCTCTTTCCCTCTCCTCATCTTTGTATTTAACCTCTGCTTTTTTTATTGTAATCAATGGATGAAAGTGAAAGAGGGATTGATGATTTACTCATTTTGTGCATTATTTCTTATGAATTAGTTTCACACACTTGTGGTTGGAAAGATTATCTTGATGTTTGGAGCATTCCCGGCTTTGATCACGTATTACTGGAGAATGGAAAAGCCCGAAACCACTCTGTACACTGCCTTGGTCGCCAAGAAAGCGAAACAACCTGAAACAGATATGTCGAAAGTTCTTCAGGTCAATTTGGAATCAGAACCAGATTAATAGAACAGAACAGATGGAACAAAGATACAATTGCAAAGTAAAAGAAACAAAGATACAACATTTGGGTCACACAATTTTAACACGTAATAAAACTACTCGAAGAAGCTGATGCGTAAGTTTATTAGTAATGTAACACCCCAATTTAGAGGCTAAATTGTAGAAATTTTAAAGTGGTGAATTTAATTGAAATTTTGGATTAAATTATAAAATTTCAAAGTTCACAAACCGTTTTAACAAGTGTAAAAAATTCAGTAGCTAAACTTATGATTTGATCATTTTTCTTTAGTAGAAAATATAAACCCCTTTCCACGTGCGCGGTTTCTAGATTATTTCCCAGTTTTCCCTTCCCCGTCAACCCCTCTTTGAACTCCAATCTACTCACCGTCCGACCTCTGATCGACGAACCGAAACCACCATCATGGTTGTTGTCGACTGATGAACAAAACCCCTCAAACCTTTCGTCGTGAATCATCGTCGTTCGTCGTTAATTTCAGTCGAAAGTATCGTCGGTATTAACTCGATTACAGTTGGTTTTTCGTCGATTCACGACGATCTGACCATCCATTTTCGACACCTCCCGCACCATCGTGTTTCTTGCATCGTTCCGAGTCCGTCGGTGTCCTCCGTTTCTCCGTCGTCGCCGGCGCGTGGAGGGTGAAAAAGTTGAAGCTTTCAATGTTTCGGAATCGAGCTCTCCACCGTTCAAAATTGTGAACCAAACTCGGTAAGTGTCTTAAAATGCCTTAAAATAATTTTTAGGAATTTTTCCGGGAATTTTCTGACACTTTATCACTGTTCACGCTCCGCCACTGCGCATAGAGGTGCTAATTTTGTAATTAATTTCTATTATGGTGATATTTGTCAAAAATTCGGGTGTTAGTTTTGTAAATATTTATAGAAGGTGACTAATTTTGTAATTAATTTATGTTAGGGTGATATTTGTGTAAAACGGTCGACTGTTGACCGTTGACCGACATTGACCACTGTTGACCAGAACTTTGACCGGCGTTGAAAGACATTTGACTTTGATCAGGTATACCTATCCTAACGTTTTCGACGTTCTGAGTCCGATTTCGCAGTCTGTTTTTCGAAATTCAGACCTGAATGCCTCGAAATTTGGATCCGAATACCTCAAAATTGTCAGTCAAACCCGTTGACTTTGACTTTGACCGAAAAGTCAAAAAATTTGAAAAGTCATATTTTATGTATTTGACGTTTCGAATTCGTTTTTGGGGTCTGTTTCGCAAAACTCGAATCCGATAAACTGTTTTTGATTGATTTATCACCCGATTTGATATGTTTTTCAGAATTAAGCTCTGTTTTTTATGTAATTTCTGTTGATATGGATACGAGGAAATATTGGAAGTTGAATTAAAGATCAAAGGCGTTCGAATGGAATTTATATGGTCGATCAGTATGGCACGAATATCGAGGTAATATTTTACTACCTCTTTATGCTTTATGTAACATGTGAATATTGATAAATGCATAATTAAGATAATGTTGGTCTCATTTGTGTAGTTAATTAATTTCTACACTCAATCTGAATACGGTAAAAAGGTTCAGTAATTGATTATGGTTCAGATGACTGTTATAGGAAATTGAGGAATTGTTAGAATTAAATTACAAGTTATGTGCTCTGTGATAAAGAAATCAACATGGATCTGTAATTTATAATTTATTTTATCAAAGGTTAAATGTTAAAGGTACTTGGATGAAAATACTCTGATAGGGTGAAATTACGAAAATACTCTTATGCTATAAAAAGGCAATATTTGATTATGGAAGTTGGATAAGAGGTTTTAAATATATATTGATCTGATGAAACTACTTATATACACAAGAAATGCTAGTTTTGCTTAGAAAATATGGATAACTGATTTTTAACTTAAGAGGATTTGAGCAAGAATCTAAGAGTTTGTTAAGAGAATCATTTCAAGATCAGAGAATGTTCGGGAAAGCAATTAACCATAGGATCTCCAAATTATAAGTATGTTTGTTAAGAGTTAATACTGAAATTATCTGGTTAAGAAATTACGAAAATACCATTGAGAGGTAAAAATAGTCCGAGTTGACCCTGAATGAGAAAGTAATTTGAAAATTCATATTTAACTCGATAAATTACGAATTTAATGGTTAAGATCCGTCTTTGTACAGAAAATTTCTGATAACATGTTTGTAACTTTTGAGAAGGCAATTGACCTGAAAATCTCTGAGCTAAGAATAAATTATTGAGGGTGCTCTTTTGTCAGAATTGTTCGGAAGAACTGAAAAATATGCTACATTAAAATTAAATAATCAGATCAGATGGGAGGAAATGCTTGTAATACATTGGATCTGTAAATTGACCAAAATACCCCTAGAATAAAAATGACCAAGAATATCACCAAGCCCAGGAATAAATAGATATCCTCAAGCTTTGCAATTAATGGAATAAAATTAAGCACCAAAATAACCAAAATACCCTTATGGCCTATACTAAGTATATGTTTTGGATTAATTAAGGAATCAAAGTAAATATGGGTGTTGTACTACCCTTAAAAGTAATGGAACACAATTTAAGTGAGTAGATCAACCCTAAAGCTATGTCAATACCTGAATGACATAGATATTACTTGAATGTGTGTTCGTCTTCTCAAGTTTGGCTCGATGATAATTTTGGAAGTATTTAGCTCAGCTCAACTCTAAATCGCATTCAGTACTAAGAATTAGACGTTTGTTCGACAAATCAACCATGAAGACCAAATTGAATGGAACGAAAGTACAATATGTATCTGAAATTCAGGAGCGTTTTAATTACTCTGGAAAATCCTGAAGTAACTGGAATGGACTTGAATGCTAAATGAACTAAGTAACCTCAATGACTGAGGATTAATTAAGTGATTAGGATAAGGTTGGAAACTCGGATGAACTTATATGATGTATCATCCCTATGGATTATGAACCACAAATCAAGTACGTCAACATTTCATGATATCGTGGAAGCGTGAAAATGAAATAAATACCATTAGAATATATGTTTGTCTCCTTAAGATATGTTCAGTGATGACTCAAAAGTTGATTTATGGACAATAATTGTTGGTATTAAAGAGTGAATACCTGGTAGGACAACGAATGGACCGATCAACATGCATTAGTTTTGGGAGTTGTTAAACTTGAGTTATTTCAATAATCTGATAGATCGACACCGACTGTAAATGTCCTGAATCTACATTTCTTCCTTATCAGCTCAAGTCACATTCTGAATAACTGATGATTCTGTCACTTATTAAACTATTCCAATAGTGATTCTGAATTCCGACATTCTATCGATATACTGAAGATCCATGTGTCTCTGCCTATTAAGATTATCATGTACCTCTGAATAATATTCATAAACTCTAGTGTGTTCCTTTATCACATAAATATTTTATTTGATTTCCGACTTGAATTCTGTTCTGATACATTACCTGAATTTTGTTCTGATTTCTGTTATGATTATGTTCTGATATCTTATCTGAATTCTGTTTTGATCTGTGGGGTTTATTGTTGGAGGAAGAATACTTACAGGTTCATCGACTTTGTGCTCAGGGCCTAACTGTTGTGCCGGGCTTGTACACATTATGTTGTGTTCGGATGGGGGAATTTACTATGGTTTTTGATAAATGTTTTATTTGGGGTTATTGTTGGAGGAAGAATATATGCAGGCTCATCGACTTTGTGCTCAGGACCTAACTGTTGTGCCGGGGTTGTATGGTTCTGGGGAACCTATACATCATGTTGTGTTCGGTGGAAGGGATTACTATGGTTTTTATAAATAAAAATATGTTTTAAAAAAATTGTATATTTTTACTGGTTTTACGGGAACACACTAGATAACCTATTCTGATCTCCTGAACCCAGTCATCCGAAATATTTCTCTGAACTGAAAGCTCATTGTCCATTACCATCTGAAATATCAGTAGGATCTTCGCTCAGTATAAAAGTCTATGGATGTTCGGAACCAATAAGAAAATATATGTTTATCTGTATCTGCACGTTCTTCAGCATCATCTGGTAGCTCTGTATTACTGAGTTTTCTAAAGCTCACTCTGTTACTCATCTTTTCAGGCTAAAAGAATTGTATCAGTGCAGCTATCGACTTCTGTAAGGGAGTTCTTCCGGTGTTGTTTGCAGAGTACGGTACATGTGATTAGGGGGCATGTAATTGTATTTTGTTTTAAATACGAATCAGAAAATCTATTTTATTTCTGAATATTGATAAATGATTTTATGAGTTTATATGTTATGATAAAAAGTTTTAAATTTTCTGAGATTTTACAGTGGGTCGCTCCGGTGGCCCTAATGTGACACTCCAGATCGGATCGGGCTACCTGCATCGGTCTGAGGGGTTACAAGTAATTCGTTAATTTGAAAGGAAGGACATATTAACAGTCATTCAGAGAGTAAGAGGAGTCCCACCTCAAAAAAAATATTTTGGTTCAATTATTTGGAGAGCTAATGATTTGATTCATACTGTCGAGTTGAATGCCGCAATCCGATGCAGAGAATTGTCGACATCTTGTGGGGGGATGGCGACAGTAGAGGTAAGAATTGTTGGTCACCATGATTGTGCACTTGTGCAGTGTCTCAAAAGTTACATGTAATTGAGAATTTGAGATACTTATTCCGATTTAACAAAGAATGATTTTTTATAGGAATTGAAGGCCTCGTTAAAAACCTCCTTCTTGATTAAAGGATCTTGTAAAAAAGCTCCTTAATCAACAGAAGGAGGAAAAGAGTGCCCTAAGATTTCATTAACCATAAGATTCAAAA